CTCTATTCTTCTTTCAGTTGAACAGCCACTTACTTTCAAGTATCTTGGGAGAAGTTGAAGAATTGATTTGTTGTAAATCCAGCAGCTGTAATCTCTCCACTGTAGCGCATGGGGCTGCGGCATCCTATGTGGTAAACCAAAAGCATTGCCATGGAAATACATAAGTGATGCATTCTAAATAAAATTGCCATTTATAACATATTGCAGAAATTGCATGAGACCACCCACCATTTCATGTAAATTCTTTTAAAGTCAAGTAACACAAATTAGCTACTAACTTCTTAAAACTTAAAACCATACATTCCCAGTGGTAGCTGATTGATTGTTTTCGTGTTATTTGAAAAGTCATTTAACATGTCATTTTATTTTGGCTTAAGTCTCATTTGTTTACATGAGAGGGGGCGATCAAAATGTTTTGGTTTAATTTTTCCGAGCCTGAGGCACACTTCCAAACACCTAATACTTCAAGGCTGTGTTGCACTTTAACAATATAATGTGATGTGTATTTAGCATATTTATTGTGTATGGCCATACTTCACAATCATGGTGTGCAACATCCACTTGCATGATGCGACGACAGCCACAGGACAACGGCGCCAGTGTGCTCACCACACACCAGCTATAGGTGGTGTAAAGTGACCGGGACACCCCTACTCTTTATGAGAAGTGCCATGGGATTTGTAATGACCACAGAGAGTCAGGACCTCGGTTTAACGTCTGATCTGAAAGACGGTGCTCACTGACAGTATGGTAAACAAATGAATAGTACAATTTTATCACAAAAAAGCAAAAAGGCGAAAAAATAAGCTAATGCTGCTACATTTTGTTGAAATGGACTAGAATCAGAAGTAACACAAATAGTGCTCATGAGCTAAAGAAAAACTCAAATCACAGTTGATTATACATTTGAACATTAGCATATTGCTAAGCTAATAGCTCAGTACTCCAACAAGAATTAAATCAACATGATCTTAAGGAATACAAGCTGTGGTACATATTCTGAAATATAGCTCTTATAAAATTATACAAACTCATATGTTATTTAAATAAAACAAAACAATTGACCTTTAAATTGATTCATTTTCTTTTTAGACTAGTCGCTTTATTAATCTGGGGTCGCCACAGTAGAAAGAACTGCAAATTTAATTTATCCAGCATATGTTTTACGCAGCTGATGCCCTTCTAGCTGCAACCCATCACTGGGAAACATCCATACACACTGATACTCTACAGACAATTTAACTTACCCAGTTCACCTATACCAAGTGTACCCTGAGGAAACTCACACAAACACAGGGAAAACATGCAAACTCCTAAATGCCAACTGACCCAGCGACCTTCTAGCTGTGAGGCGATCGTGCTACCCACTGCGCCACCGTGACGCTTCTTAATTATAAATTAAGATTGCTAAATTTGAAGTTAGTTTGTACAAAATCAACCTTCGAAATCATCCAATCGAAGCACATGTGTTTAAATGTGTATATGTACTCGCATATATAATGAATTTAGTAAATTGGGAAAAAATGGTGGGAAAAATGTACATTCACTGCAATATTCATTCATTCCTTTTCTTGTCGGCTTAGTCCCTTGATTAATACAGGGTGGCCACAGCGGACTGAACCGCCAACTTATCCAGTAAGTTTTTACACAGCGGATGCCCTTCCAGCCGCAAGCCATCTCTGGGAAACATCCACACACACACACACACACACACTCATACACTACAGACAATTTAGCCTACCCAATTCACCTGTACCGCATGTCTTTGGACTATGGGGGAAACCGGAGCACCCGGATGAAACCCACGCGAACACAGGAAGAACATGCAAACTCCACACAGAAACGCCAACTGAGCCGAGGCTCGAATCAGCAACCTTCTTGCTGTGAGGCGACAGCACTACCTACTGCGCCACTGCTTCGCCCTTCACTGCAATGTTAATCCAAACAAGTGCGGTTATAAAACATAAAAATGTATGAATTTTCTTTCAATTTATACAAAATGTCATGAGTTAAAGACAGCAGTTTATAGAAATAAAACAAGTGGTACAAGTAAAATTCTAATTACATCGTATAGCTGACTCGTGTATAGATTTGCATAATTTGCAATCCAAATAAAGTCAGTGTGATGAGTAAAACGGGGAGAACTTGCAAACTCCACACTAAAATGCCAACAGACCCAGCCGAAAATCGAACCACTGACCTTCTTGCTGTGAGGTCATCGTGCTACCCACTGCGCCACCGCAATGCCCTTAATTATAAATTAAGAGAGACAAATCGAAGCACATGCGTTTAAATGTGTATATGTGTTCGCATATATAATGAATTTAGCAAATTGGGAAAAATTGGTGGGAAAAACGTACAATTTTATTGAAACAAACTAAAACGTTTGACTTACAATTGTACAACAGAACTTAATTAACAAAATCACACAAATAGTGCTTATAAAATGATTAAAGATTTGACTCTCAGTTTATAAATGTCGCTAAGCTAACATCCTCAAATGAGCAAAAACATCACAAAGCATGAAAGATTACCTTTCGAAGGCCTACTGCTCCTGAGATGGTTTGTAGGACATGAAACAGGAAGCTTGGTACAGTTTCCCCTCCCCTGATAGATAGTAAACTTCTTGGTTTTGGTTCAAAGTGATTAAATACATGCTCAAAATCATGCAACAGTGAAACAAGAGATGCAACAGTGAAAAACGCCACAGTACGAGGTCTGTTGTGATTGCACAAATTCTTTAATTAAAGGACCAAATTGTACATTTCAACAAGCAGTCAAATAACAAAAAGACAGAACTGCATATGTACCTATCGATTCGGCTACTTTCAGTGTGTTAGAATAAAATAAATCCAAACGTGATTATTTTATTTTTATTTGAAAAATCAAACATGACTGATTAAAAAAAAAAAAACATGACATGGATGACATAATTTCTAAACAAACAGTTCAACATTTAAATTCTGGAAAGTAAAATTTACCAGTATGGCACCATGTTCTTCATTTAAAGTGTAAAACTTCTTCTTAAAATATACAAACAGAACACAATACCTGAAAAAAAGAGAAAACTTATACAATATTTCCTCCAAAAACATCTTTCTAAAAGCCTACATCTTGTGCTGGAGAAACAAAAAAAGAAGTAAAACCTGGTTAGGTTGCAGTGCTCTTTAAAATAGTGCTTACAACAATATGAAATAACTGTATTTTTTTTTGTTACTATTTACAAGCTTTTAAACAATTCGTAAATGATTGTCGTAATATTTCTCATATACGTGTTAAAGAAATTCGAATCCATAGCTGAGCCAGTGGTACCTCTCATAAGAAATGTCTGTAAATACGGTATATATATATATGTACTTTAAAAAAAGAAACAAAGAAAAAAACAAAGAGGCTGGCCTGGACGTTCATCTTCTCTGTGACTTTATAATACTATAACAATTAACGATATTATTTGTTAAACACCTTGCAGCACCCTGATGAAATATTTGTATTTTTTTTAAAACTGCTTTACAATATACTCGACACATTCAACAATATAAGCTTCCGGAATCTCTTTTCACAGACAAAACAAACCTGCTCTTGAACTGGTTCTTGAAATGCGTTAACGATAAGTTCTGGTCAACACAGTCTCACTTCAAATGCATGATGAATTTGAACATTTGCGTGATGCTTCACGTTTAAAGAGATTTACGGCAATTTAGAAAAAAAATCGGAACAATATATGGGTTAATCGACATAAATTCGGTAATAGTTACGTATTGTTCAAGTTAACTAGCTGACTGTACAAGTTGACTAGCAGCTAGCTCTCTGCAACTCTTACATGGTGGTCCACTGAAGCTAAGCAGAGCTACGCAATGGAGAGACCACATGGGAAAGCTAGGTTGCTGCCGGAAGTGGTGTTAGTGAGGCCAGCAGAGGGCGGTCTGTGTGGGTCCTAATGCCCCAGTATAGTCAAGGAGACTCTATACTGCTCAGTAAGCACCGTCTTTCAGATGAGATATTAAACCGAGGTCTTGACTCTCTGTGTCCTTTAAAAATTCCAGGATGTCCTTCGAAAAAGAGTAGGGGTGTAACCCCGGCATCCTGGCCAATTTTGCCCACTGGCCTCTGTCCATCATCGCCTCCTAACCATCCCCATATCATAATTGGCTTTATCACTCTGTCTTCTCTCCACCAATCAGCTGGGGTGCGTTCTGGTGTAATACGGCAGCCGTCGCGTCATCCAGGTGAATCCTGCACACTGGTGGTGGATGAGGAGATTCCACCCAATGTGTAAAGCACTTTGAGTGTCCAGAAAAGCTCTATATAAATGTAGGGAATTATTATTATCATCATTATCATTATTATTATTATTACTATTATTATTAACCCGTGCAAAATGCACAACATTTACTGCAATGTTGTCAAATCAAGTGCAGTAATAAAATGTACAAAATGTATGAATTGTATTTCAATTTAGACAATTGAAATCAAGTCATGAGTTAACGATAATAATATCGGCTCATACAAAATATACGACTTTTACCGCAGTTTATAGAAATGAAACAAGTGGTACAAGTAAAAATCGAATTACAATGTACGGCTGAATCGTATACAAATTTCCATGATTTGTAGTTTAAATAAAGTCAAAAAATTTAAATTGAAAATGTTTATTTTGCTAACGCACGTTGCTATTCTATATGCGTAACTCATTGTGTGTAAACATATGTTTAGGTAATCTTCAATCAAAGCCACAATATTCTTAACCACGCCGTTTGCTATGAAGGAATTATGTGCAATAGAAGCCCCGCCCCCTACCAAATATTCTATTTCAAGAGGAAGAACATCAAAGTACTGAAATAAAAAATAATTCTGTTTCACGTGGAATGGGACAAAACCAACCAATCGAAAGATTGTATGAAGTACGTTTGGTTCACTCTTACAAATCATTACACATTCGTTGTGAGACTGGGTTGGTTCTGGAACTACTACACACATGAACACCTGTATCTAAAAGGTAAGTTGATTTGTAAAGCTGATCTAGAATCAGCTTTACAAAATCTAATCTCACAAAATGCAATAGCGAGAAGGGTTCAGATCTACAAGCGACATCTACAGAATTTTTTTATACTGCAATCTGTGTTATTACTGACATCTCGCACAGTTTTCTTTAAACTGTTGGTAAAAAGAAGGTAGCGACCTTGCATTTTCCCATAAATAAATATGCAATCCAATCTTCTGTTCATATAAACATCATTTACTGCGTTTCAGGACAATCAGTTCTATATGTTGCGCATGACGTTATTTACGTCATTTAGCTTTCCGAACAATTAGCACAAATTTGTACTACTTGTATTTCACAAACGATTTCCAACGAATTGTCTCACACACACACACACACACACACGCACACACACACACAAACATACACACGTACATATACACAAACATTTCCCAACACACACCTGTTATGGACGGACCAACGCAAATTGTGATCGACTGCATCTTCCAACTTTAGAAATTTCGTAACATAATGGCAAGTAATATTAACGAGAGTGCTCACATTATGCCGGGTGCAGTATTCAACGACTTCAATTGGTTAAATATTCCAGAGATCAATCTGTGTCGATTTAATTGAAATTAAAACCCATTCAAATTGATAAGAAAAAAGAAAACAAACTAAAAAACAAAAACAAACCATAATTTATGCTTGACAGTCTTCCCGTGATGGATGGCATCTCTTCGGATGGATCTTTACTATGTTCAGAGGTAGAAACCAGTGGTTTGAGGGTCTGGAGGATGTGGGTGTGGCTCAGGAAGTGGGTGGGGACTGTTGACAGGTGCGGCCACTGTGTTGCCATTGGGAACCAAACAACTTCCGTTGTAGGTCACGCTAGTGGAGTTCAGAAGAAAACCGGTCTCCATCTGGAAACAAAAAAATGTTAGAATACCTGACTAAAAAGTAAATGCTAGCCAAAAAGTGAAGGTATTAAGCTAAAATTTGATTGAGTGAATCTCATAGGATTCCTAGGTCACAGTTCAATTAATAGTTATAATTAAGAACACTAATAGCTTCTGTTGCATTTCCTTCCACAACAACTAAGAGTGAATTATTTGCATTTGACCTAAAATACAAACTCAAGTATGGGGTTAGCTTATGGAACTTGCACAGGGGTTGCTTTTTCACATTAAACTAATTTCACTTATTTGTTTTGGAGGTTTACCAATCAAAACAATATAGGCTCAAACCACTACATGCACCATGCTAACCAAAGCTAATCTAAACGACAACATTTAAAATCTGAAATATTTACATCTCATTTGGAATTAATTTATTCATGAATGCTACTTTATAGTTTTTTTCTTAATTTATTTACCTTTTTTAGCTAAAAATGTATACAGACAACATTTTAATACGGACCATATTCAATTATAAAATTAACGAAAAAGGCTCTTGAGGTTGATGGGAAAAGGTTTCTGTAGGAATGTGGTGTGCGGATGATAAGTAAATCCCTGGCAGTATCACAAAGCTCCTATAGTTAGTGCAGGAAAGTGAAGTGTTAGCATGCATGAGGTAGTGCTGGTGCTGGATTGTAGGTCATGGCTGCTCACGCCTGACTGGCCATTTAAGCTCTATTCTCCTTTCAGCTGAGAGCAATGACCCTGAACACACACACGCACATACTCAAAAGCCCAGAATGTAGTGCTGGACATAGACTTAATTGTCTCTTTTGGCCTTGCCCTTCCATTGATATTTTAGTCCTATTTCTAACCTCCTCATTCTCATTTTGGCAATATTTTTTATCATCTCAATCTCTTTTTTTCCCTGAAAAAGTTGCACCTTTCCTTTTCCATTTCGGCAATAATTCATACAAAAGTCACCGCTAAGGTGCCAGACTTTTGTAGTATAACCAATAAGGTATTTAGTGTGCTTTAAACCCATTTCCAAGTCTTGATGATTGCTCCATATGGCTGGTCCATATGGGATGTTTCGTGCTTTGCCTGCCTTCTGGGTGAAGTACAAGTCGGAATGCTTATAAAAGCAAAAGCACATCACTATTTAACAAGCCACAATATTTTGAGATATCATTCATGTTTTTAGCATGCACAAACGTCAAGGGATGAGTTATGCATCACTGCTAATGCTGCTAACAATCTACATAAAGCACGATCCTTATATGTGGAACAACAGCGTGGTGCCCTACATGTGAAAAGGCAAGATTGTCTGGATAAATGAGTGCAGACAGGGGCCCATGGTCTCTAAATATGGGCTGCTGCATGAGCGGTCCTTTTGTGGAGGCTTCTCTTGCTCTATCTCTTTCATGGCCTCAGGTTTCCCAGTTACAATGGGCTAGATGCTACAGTTGGCTGCCATCAGTACAGCGGAAAAGCCTTTCTGGTGCTAGTGGGTTGACCTGGAAGCTTACACTCCTAAGCTGAAGATTACAATCTTAACCGCAGTCACCATAATAAAGCAACACAGCGGGCAAAGCAAACATCCACCTGTGTGGGGCCCCACGGCAAATCTCTCGAGACTGCCAAGACTTTGTAGGTCTGTCACTGTGCATTATGCAATCTCAGCACATTAGCTGTGACCTATTAGGCCTTGGTCCCTTATACAGAGCACAATTAGATTAGAGTGAACATTTAGGCCAGGGGAAAAAGAAAGAGAAATATGGAGGGGGTGGAGAGGGCCATAACAGGACTTGGCGTCCAGAATACCTTTTGAACTATATTCCTAGATTATCAGAGCTGTCTTGACAGGCAGTCAGAGGAATCAACTGCATTATGTGAAAAGCTAAAGACAATCATAATAAGCTAGCAATGTTTACCATCTTGATAATGTACCTAAACAAATAATTCTGCAGGGGTGTCCAATTTTGCTCCCATAGGGTCATTCCAACACCTTGCAATCCTAAAACTAAATCCTAAAAGTATCCTAAAGTATCTTGCAATCTTTAAAACCATTACCTGGTTTAGGTATGTTTAAGGCTTGAGCTAAACTTTACTCAAAGGTGACTTTCTAGAAGCAGTACCTGCAGGGTCACTGTAATACCTTTGGCTTTCTCTTTTCTGCCCTTGATGAAACATTTGAACATAATCTCAGGTTTTAGGTTCAGGGCTTAAAAACATTCTTATCAACCGATTCCTTCTTGTCCGATTTCAAGAGTGGAAGCGTTTGGCCTTTTAATGGTTGATAGGAAAGATGACCCAGAGGCTTGTCAAGCTTGGATAAATCAGATTGTAAAACTATATCCTCCTTTAATGCTTACCTTACTGTGGGTCATGTCATGGGTCAACTCAGAGCCATAATCCGTCAGCGAGGGGAGGTTTGAAGGTGGGGCTAATCCTAGGATATGCTCCAGAGAGGAGTTCTGTTTGGTATAGGAGGCGTAATAAGTGGGTGTGACCTTTGGCTGCTGCTGCTGTTTCTGATAACCCTGCTGATAGGACGAAGATGATGCCATAGCTCCCTGAAACTGCCCTAGGTTCCCAGATGAACTGCTGTTCATTGTAAACTCCACCCCTGAATTGTCAGTCATGTTGTAATCAATAATATGGGTACCCATTGTCTGAGTGTGTGCCATCTGACCATTGGGAAAACAAGGTCCATTTGTGACCAGCTGTTCTGCAAAGTTGTATCCATGCCACTGAGGATTACTGTAGATCCCATTTGCAAGGGTATCTCCACCCTCAATTGTTTTCGGCTTACACTGGAATGGGACAGGCAACTGGTTTTGCTGCCATTGCTGTGGCTGTGCCTTACTAGTTCCTGTTATCTTATCACTAAGTTGAGAGTTTAAATTGACTTGCGTATGTTCAGGGACCCAGTGTCCATTGTGTACAACTGGTACAGAGTTCACCAAAGTAGTATCATGCTGGTTAAAGTTAGCTGTCTCAGATTCTGTTGTAGGCACTTGAGACAATGGTGTATGGATCCAGTTCTCAGTTTTGTGGCAAACCGACTGGCCATTAAGATGTTGTTGCATGCGCTGTGATAGATGAAGTATGGGTGGTATCTGTTTTTGTGGCCAGAAAGGAGCAGGTACGGATGAAGTTACTTGAGGAGGTGAATCAGACTCTGGCTTAGAGTTTTCAACAGAATCTAATGCAGTTGAAGGCTTTTGAGACTCTGCTGGGTCCTCAGTCTGGTTCTCCAGTGAATCATGGACGTAGGAGAGGATTTCGTTGTTTGTGAGAAGATCATTGAGAGATGGGATAAAGTCCGGTTCCACTTCTACCTGGATCATCCTTTCATCTAGAAGCAGCAACTCAAGGTCCTCTGCATTGAGTCCAAGATTTTCAAGGGCACTGAATAACTCACTGTTGGAGCAGCTCTCCTCATTTTCCAAAGAAAGAGAGTCTAATGTTGCCAAAAGTGGGTCAAAACTCGACGTCTCCTGTTTGGAGGCTGTAGTTACACCATTCTGCACTGGATTCCAACTTTCATTCTCAGCAGAAGAAGAGAAAGTGCTAGTCTCTCCTTGCTCACCAAAGAGGCTACTGTGGAATGACATTCTAGGCTCCATAGCTGGCTGGCAAACATAAACAGACTCGTCCTGTCTCATCATGGCTCCCAGTAAGGAACTTGGATCCAGATCGTCCTTTGAGCTTTTGTTCACCTTGCTCTTTTTGGTTTTGTTGTTCTTGCCTTTGTCCTGAAGGGTGTCGGGGAAGCCCAACATGGGGTAGTTGATTTGGTACAGCAGAGCTTCTCCAGTAGCAAAGGTGAATGGAAGATGCATAGATCGTTTCCTCAAGTGCTCTCCACCCTCTTCTTCTCTGTATGAACAAATAAAAGAAATGTCTTTCATCAAAATCAAGCTAAATTGCAAAGCTACGTAAAGAATGTAAGACAGTAGGATGATATACTTACACAAGTGGCCTCTGGGTGGCAATGATGTAGTCAGGCTTGCCATTTTTGTAGACAAGTCTAGCATTAGCTTGTACCCATTTCCAACGGTTGTCCTTTGTAAGCAGTCTAAAAACAGTCAGACCACTCTCTCCAGTCTTGATCACTGCAATGGACAATGCAACAATTTGTAATCACATTTATTGACTTAAATATATAGAACAGTTTTTTATTTTTATTTTTTTTTGCATTGTACCTTTTTTTCTGCTACGGGCTTTTGGTTCCATATTAAATTACTGATATGGATTTACTGCTCTAGTTCACATGTCTTCTCTAGTCATAACATCAAGGATTTATCCAATCTCATCCATAATCTATAGGATTACAGGAAAGAATTCCTTCTCCTGTGTTTAGCTCATCTGTCTGTCTCCTTTCTGACATTATAAGCAATGTACTTTTTTCCTATAACATCTATGGATTGCCTCCTGCTAACCACACTGAATGAGAAAACTGACATTATTTGCCAAAATGAACAGGGCTAATGTTTTTTTTTTGCCAAAAAAGTCCAATGTGAACACGTCCAAAGTAGACACTACCATTTCCAACTGGCATTAAGGTAATTTCATTGAGACGCTTCCTTCTTCTCTCACCCTGTTTCACATAATTTTCTCGGAAACATTCACTGTGCGTAAGTGCTACTGAATGAATGTCTCCATGTTACGCAACTTACAGGCAAGCAGGAAAGCTAACAAACAAAAGACTATGGATGGCAGCTATGGTTTTGATCGTAATCCAGGAATTTTGGAACAACACAGCAAAGTACGAAAACCTAGTACTGGTACACTTTCTTAATGTTTTAGGTCAGTATGTTGATAGTGGGTGGCCTTTTGTGGCTATTTGAACAATAATAGCTTCTACACTACAAATGTAATAGCGTCAAATGGGATTTTGACGATTTATGGAAGTAGTCTAAAGTGGGCAACTTTAAAACATTTAACACCTTTAATAAGAAATCTGAAAATCTTACTCCTGACATGGTTCTCAGCACAGTAGAGCATATCAGCTGCATGGATGAACTGGTACCCTGAACCTCGAACTCGCAGTTCCGCCTCTGTGTAGCCAAGAACTATTTTACCCCTAAAAAACAGGCAGAACAACATCGCTGATGTTTGTACCATATTATATTGTACAGATGAACATATATAACGTCTTATTGTTTTAATCAACACAGTCGTCCATGATTACTTTGCATCGCAGGCCATTGGGGTGAAATCCAACTTGTGTTTGGTTCTGAATATCATGTTCTTGGTTCGAATCTCCATTATGGAAGGAGGCTGTAGGGGCGTCGCAATGGCAAACAGGGCAAGCTGGGGTGGCATTTGGCCTCCATCATCCAATCGCCTGTTTTGCCCATGCAGGAATTTCAGACGTCCTTGAAAATTCAAAGCCTTCAAGAATACAAGTACAAACAATTACTGGAATATCAATATACAAAAAGGAAAGCATTGAAAGCAATTCCAAACCAGAGTTTATTTGGACTGTAAATTTAAATAAACGTAAATCTTGGCAACTCTAACAAAAGGAGCAAATAAAATACATGTCAATACATTTGCATGAAAGACGTACACAACTGATACACGTAGAATAAATACATATACAGCTGGAGCTGATGATTTTGTTTCTGTGCTTTTGGCAAACCACATCATTTGTCTCTGACTCAATGTGGGCCACAGAGCTCATGTCAGGTCATCTATTAACAAACGCAGTGCAAGCTAGTCAGAGTGTGTCATATGTGGAATTACATGGCGCCTTGTGCAAGGCCTGTTTAAAATAGTTCTACTTATGTAAGGCCACACAACAAATGTCTCAGTTTGTCAATGACTTCACGGCATATTAAACCACTGACACACATACTTGTACACAAACACACAAATTAGCATTAGATTTCATTTACCATAAATAAAAGCAATGCTTTAAGCATGCTTTCTGGGATGAGGGCGTGAAAGCGTATCAGCCGTAATTATGAACTTCCCGAAAGAACAGAATGGTTGCATTCAGAAATGGCAAGAGGACAACAAAATAAAAGTATGTAATGGAAAAAGTCTGATGGTACTTGTTTTTATAGCTCATGCTAATGAATTTTTGCTGGGCACATGGGGAGACCCCTGTTAGCATTCCACTCCTGACAAGCTAAGCGTAGTCATGCTATTCTTAAGGGAGATGGATTTGTTAAAGACGGAGGGGAGAGAGGAGAGAAAGTTAAAAAGAGAGACTGTGCAAATTAAAGAGAAAGAATTGTGCAGTAGGGAGCTTTGCACGCATGTCGATTTCATCTCTAGCGCAATGCCAAGATTAGCACAGAAAGAGACTTGTGGGGAAAAGGAATACTTTAGGAACAAAGCCTGCTGGAAACATCAGTATTCACTGTTGTTTCTATAGCTGAAGCCTGACTTTCCTCCAATTAGCTTTGATTTTAGGCTAACCTGGCTAATTTGAAATGATAGCTTAACGTCTCATTCTTCTCACCATTTTCATGTGTTTCTTCAAGCACAAATTAAAACCTTTTCCCCATGACCTTATTGCTCCTTTAAGAGGGATTACAGAGGTGTTCCAACAATTCTCAAATCTATGGCTACAATCCGCTAACCTGCACTAACCCAGATGCTAACTCGTTCTGTAATCTGGAACGTTAGGGCTTAGGGACTCTGAATAGCCAGATATATTTCAACCCATTGTAATATCAAATCAGTCAAATGTATGACATTCCTAAGTAGGCAACTTTGTTGGCAGTTAATAGCAAAATGGATACTTTAGCTTAGCATAGCTTGTTGACACTGACCAGGAATCCTGAGGAATTGTCTAGGAGGCATCGGAAACGACACACAAAGTTTCTTTCCAGGAAAGAAGAGTTTTCGGGAGGCAGCTGGTCTGGGTTGCACAACACAAGAGACATATTTGGGGCAGGATCTCCATCTAGGAAAAGAAAACAGAAGAAGAGAGAAAGCAGACATTGGTAGCATGTCTTGATTTTTTTTCAACAATGGCTCATTAGCTGTGTTTCCATTCAAAGATGTGAACAAATATCAAGAGGGGACAAATATCAAAAAGAAAAATGGAATTTGCTGTGGTTGGAAAAGTCACAGTGGGACTTCTATAACAAATAACTTGCCCTTCAGAAGACGAAGATGAATTATCCACTGACCATCATTTCTGTTTGCTGTTATGCTTAATTAAAATAGACATTTTAGTGACCATAACAATTATTTTGCAACTCCAGGAGTTTCCACTAAAGGTCAAACCACAAAACACATACTTCTTCTCTTATGCTCTCACTACCTAAAGTCAGGCGATTTAAGCCAGTGGTCCTCAACCTATCAACGCGAACCAGTCAACGCTTTACAATTTTACTGCAGACCAAGGGGGGTGGGGGTAGGGTCGGAAAGAAGATGACAAGCTGTCACTCTGATACAAGTTTTATTTATGAAGAAAATTACAAAGCACTGCTTTGTTTGGGTGTTCTGTGTTTGTCTGAGATATTTAGTTTAGCGAAATGTGTATATTCCATACAAGTTGAACGGTCAGTTCTTGTCACGTGACTCGCGGTGTGCTCCACATGGCATTCATTCAACTGGGTGTGTCTGGAAGTTGCAGGCACATGCAAGCCGTACACCTCTATTTGAAATAATGAACTTGCATGAACACTGGAAAACACGCGATATGTAAACAGCCCCTAAAAGGCTGCCGCCATTTGCTATTTCCAGCAGTTGATCTTCTTGCACAGACATGCTGGATTCATCTGATTTGTTGATCGTGTTGCAGATCCATTCCTTGGCAGTTTGCGGGTCCATCTCTGGGCCTTTTCCTCTTAGCAAATAAACTTTCCTAAGACCGCCTTTCCACTGCACATGACAAGCGACAGACCATCATCTCCATATGCAGAAAATTTGGATATGAGCTGCAGATCCGTTGAAATATTTGAACTCCTGCCACTAGGCTGTATGCGACCGGCTGACCGGATGTGATGTATTCCATGGTTGGAGAGGGTGCTCGCTGCAGAGCCATTTGAGGAGAGCTGAGCTCCAGCGAGGGGGAGCATATCTGTCGCTCCTCCTCCTGTAAGCTGTTTTAATGCGTACACCAACCCCACCCCCAGTGACATCACTCGTAGAAGAAGTGCAAAAAAGGTGGAGCTCAAGCTTAAGCTCCCCCTCGCTGAGAGCTCAGCTCTCTCTCAAATGGCTCTGCAGCGAGCACCACTTGCATGGTTGTCCAAGCTGAAAAACTGAACAATTTTGTGTGACTGCCAGAAGGGGGTGTATTCCGACAGTCGTGTCCTAATGTCATATGCAGTGGAAAGGCGGCTTAAGACATCTGTTTCTTACTAATTTTGCTAGCTTGTGGGTCAAATTTGGCCGCCCAAGTGGCTGAGATGCAAGCGAGAGAATACAGTCATTTTTCAAAATAAAAGATTTTTCAAAATAAAATATAGTTCAGACTCGGATAATAAATAAAACAGAAATAATTGATTATTTCTTGTGCGGCCTGGTGCCAATTGATCCATGGACCGGTACCGGTCCACAGCCCAGTGGTTGAGGACCACTGCTTTAAGCTATTCATTGGAATATAATGTTTTGAAATAGTTTCGGTGCTTTATTTTATTACAATTTTAAAAAATGCTGAGTTCTACACAATCCCTTCATGTCATCCCAGAGCAAATTGATTAAATTAGCTAAATGGTTTTTAAAATTTTAAGTTGATTTGAACATAAAACCATTAAGTTGTTCCAAAAAAACTCAAAAATTGTGTTGTTTCAGTACATTTTAAATAAGTGTTTTGAACAAGCAACAATATTTGTTAAAAATGTACAGTAGTTATAAATACTCATATTTGTAGTTGCACCCATCAGGTTTCATATTACAAACATTTTACGTGAATATATATGTAAATTCCTACATAACGCAGTGCTGTCATGATGTAAAAGGAAAATTTGCTGACCTTCTGATGAGTCTTCTGTCTGCGTGCTGGCTGGCGGCGGGTTCAAGGCCCAGTGTAAATTGCGCCTGAAGGCCTGCTGGTCCTCAGTATGAATGAGTTCAAACACATTTTGATGCATTACATCCGTCTGGGACAAATGGAAAAGGACAATGTTTATGAAACAATAACAATTAAGTATGTTGCTGTTGGGATTAAAGAATTTCTAGAACTAACTACAACTTACATCGATTTTAACTCTTTTTTTTTTAATTCTGTTAATTTATGGAATTTTAATTCAAGCTTTTAAATGAACCAATTATTGTCTGTTATTGTGTAAAATGTTTTTGTGAAAATGTGGCATCATTTGAGCGAGTATTACATGTTTATTCTTCAAGAATGTAGAGGTATCATCCAAAAACAACAACACATGAATATGTAATACAGGAGATATTTCATAGTTTTTGGGGATTTAAATGAATGGGGAACATTTAGACCACCCTGATGTATGTATGAAAAACTTAAAGAAAAAAAACCTGATGACAAAACAGATCAAATAAAATAGTTTTAATCTAACATGTTGCACATAATGGCTCTGCACTTACTCCAGCTACTCTTAAAATGGGAACAGAAGAGCTGTCAGTCAATAAATGAGAAAAAGTGAATGATGCTATTTGTTTGAAAAAGTAGCTTAAATAGTTTTGTGACTGGAAGGGCATCCGTCACATAAAACATATGCCAGAGTAACTGATGGTTTATTCCACTGTGGCTATCCCTGATAAATCAGGGACTAAGCCAAAGGATGGTGAGTGAGTGAGAACTCCGATATTTTACTATAGAATAACAAGAAAATTAGCAAATAATACATTATTTTATTAGTTACTTAAAATATTTCTGAAAAATGTGTTACTTGTAATGTGATTTCCCCAACACCAATTATAAACATAACTTTCATATGGATATTTAATAGAACCATAATTTGCTGAAGTTGACTTTTTATTTCAGTATCCTGATGTGCTTGCAACTGAAACAAAAGGGGGCAGTACTATCATTGTAATGTATATCATAGTATAGTACTTTATATATTATACAGTATATTGTTCACCTAAAGAAAAACAATGTGCCGTAGCAAAAAAAAACAAAAAAAAAAAAAAACAAAACAAAACATGGTAAATTTTCACACAGAATCACACAGATTTTAAGGAAAATAAATTTGCCACAAAAGACTTTCTTTCTTTGATATTGATCTTCATCTTATTCCCTCATCTTTACATTATTTCCACTAGAAACTGGACATTTCTGACTGTCCTGAACACAATCTCAAGGAAAGGCATTATTATTAACAAAAGGAGGACATTGTAGGCACATAAAGTAAACCTGCACAGTGGTGCCTAAGTTGGATAATTCAAAAGTAAATTATGATGAACTGGATTACACCGTGCCAGACTGAATCTGGGAGTAAAGCCTATTTGATTAAGCGCATTTTACAGCATTAAAACTATTGCTCAAGAGAAACACTGCAGTACTAGTTAGTATTATGCCGGTTTGATGAGACATGCCTTGTGTCCTCATAATTCAAAAATGCTTAAAAATCATACTTTATGGGGTCTTTTCAGATTCAAAATTTGTCACAGGTTTGCTGTGAGGGTTGGGTTGAATAGTAGGGGAAGGATAAGGCATAATAACAATATTTACAGTATGAAATACATTACACCTATGGAGATAGGACCACATAAACAATTATGTGTGTGTGTGTGCTAAGAATAGAGGTGAGAAGTACTTTATGTAATGATTATCCGACAACCGAGTCTGACGTAATTTTGATTCTGGGAAAGTGCATGTACATGAGCATGATTATCAGTCAGATTAAAACGGTGTCCTGACCTCACAATGTGGACAGATAAACATCAAATAACTAAAATATTGTTATGACAAGTATGATTTGGACATTATTTAGCCAACTACACAGTCGAGGTCGGTTTATTTAACAGCCATGAAAGTCATAGGAATAAAACATTATGAGCCAATACAGACTCCATACGAACAGGCATTCATGAGAAGAGCAATAAATATTAGTGCTGATTCCAAACATCCTCTTTTTAGGGAATATCAGCTGTAACCATCAGGAAAACGACTGAGAATGCCAATGAGTAAGACCAATAAACTGAAGCTTTCGTTTGTTTCTACCTCGATAAAACTGTTCAACTCGACCAAGAACACTGCACCTGTAGCACCTGACTGTGTGCTGTGCCTTATTTATTTCATATTTATATATGGTCTTATTCTGTAAACAATGTATGTTCTTAATTGTTTTGTTTGTTTTATTTATTTTATTGCCTGCCTAGAGCAACGTTGTAGCACCTTTTTTGCCCAAGACAAATTTCCTCTCGGAGACAAATAAAGTTTATCCGATCCTATTATAAAAAGAGTGATAAGAGAGATAAAAATATGTTTAGATATACAGCAACATCCAATCCCAATATTCATATCACAAAGATATTCAAATGGGTTTACATTAATATGTCAACTGTTAAAAATGATATTTACCTGGTGAAATCCTAAGTAATCCTGAATAGTGTGAGAACAGTAGAAAATGATCCCCTCGGCTGTGACCACCAACACAAAGCCATTAAGAGCCTGTGAAAATAAACAAACAAAGTTCAGAAATTAAACTATTAGTTTACTAGTTACTATATTGTGGATGAAACTATTTCTCTTTTATGAGTCCAAATTTCTCAAAAACAACCTCTCAAAATATCTCTCAAAACAGGAGAGATTCAAGAAAATCAACTTTTTTTTTTGGAGAAATGTCCAGAAGTGACGATCATGAAGTGATACAAACGAAAAATAATTTTTTAAATGACACAGAGTCAAAAAACACCCAATGGAAAGCATCCTTTAACACACAGCAAGCTGTTGATTATCCCAATTATTCTGAGTCAATTTGCCAAGTCATAGATAAGTTAAAGCTAGTCCTGCTTTTTTTGCAATGTAATATTTGAACAAATGTTTTGTAGGTATGAAACGTTAAATTTGCCTTCTTTAAATCACAGACAGACAGAGAGAGGGAGAGCGCATCGAGAGATCTTTAATGTGCCTGTAAATGACTTATATGGCATATCTAATAGCTCATAATAACATGAGCTAGCAACCTATTTGCAAATATAACTACACTAATACTAATTTCAAAAGTTGTCTAGATTGTTAATTAATAAATTACAATGTCAGATAAAAAGCAAAAAAAGAAAAGAAAGAAAACGCTAGAAGTCTCAAAGATTCAAAGTCTCCATGTCACTAGATTTGAAAAAAAATTTCAAGGTCAAAATTTAATTGAAGCATGAAGTAACCGGAATTATCTGAACATTGGCATGATAATAACATAATTGACTTTAAAATAAAAGTTCCCATAATGACGTTCACTCCAATAAAAAACAACATTAAAATACCAATCTAACTAAACTGTAGTATGATATGTGAAAGGCCCCCAAGCATGTTTAATCACGTTGATAAAAAGAATTCTGTAAAATATATGTGTATAACAAACAAAAAAACAACAACAACAAATAAAAAAACAATTCCTCTGCATATCTGAATTGATTTATATAGAACTATTGAATTTATGTACAGCATTTAGGGCAAGAACGTTGTAAGTAACTGTAATTAAATTGCCTAAAAATAAAAAGTAATCCCTAATTTTTTCAGCAGAAAAGTAATCTAATTACAGTTACTTTGTCACTAATTACACCAAACACTGCTCATGAGAATGTATTTTTTGGTATATTTCTGGACTTTGAATGAGCCGGGACTGTTGCTTTCTATAAAGATTGACAGAGCTCTCAGTTTTCATCTAAAATCTCTGAATTTGTGAAGAAGAATGAAGGTCTCAAGAATTTGAGACGACATAAGGATGAGTAATTAATAACATACTTAACCCTTTAAAGGTGCAGTAAGTAAGTTTGACACCCAGTGGTTGAACTAGGTATTACATTCCTGGATCAAAACAAATGCAAGCGCAGGTTGCCAGATTGACGACCAAGGAGTGAATATGACAATCGAGACTAAAGGCTGGGCTGAAAATGTTGACAAGGATCACCTCAGATACACCCCATTTGCTTTCTTCATAAATCACCCAGTATTAATACTTTTGATGTTCTGAAATATTTATCTAACAATCTATCTAACAAATTTAAATGAAGACTACCATGTATAAAATATACATGTTAAAACTATAAAACTGTATAAAGTCTGTACTAGGAAATATGAACTCGTTGGAAACAAATGAAAAAAACCTCATTGCATAAAGAGTTCATAAGTATTTAATTGCAACTAAGTACTAACTGTACAAACGTTGACAAAAAAGTACATGATTGATAAGTTTTTTTCCCCGCAGTATTAAATTAATCAGAGAAGTTCAGTACAACATGGTCGGAAGTGGAGGAAAGACTTAAACCAGGATTTAAATGCCAAATATGAACAGGAATTCGTCTCTTGTTTTACCTGTGATACGATCAACCAAAACGCACTTTTTTACCCGGTATAAACATGACAAAAAACATGACATCAGTCATGTTTACATTGTGGACTTTTCTGTCTTATCCACGCTAGCTGTTCCCGTGGTAAGCCTAAATAAACAAGTCTACAATTCGAGATCAGAGGTAAAAAAAAAAGTGCATTGCAGCACGCAGACGCGTAATGAAAAATAGATTGGCTGAATCAAAAAGGCTTTCAAATTGCACAATGACAAGAAATAATATAGATCGCGCCACAAAACACATGAAAACGAAAGTAACAAGCCTGAATTAAAAATGTAAGAAGTACAAAATTACAGATATTTGTGTAAAAATGTAAGAAGTAAAAGTAAAAAGGAGTAAAGTACTGATACCAGAAAAATCTACTAAAGTACAGTAATCAAGAATTTGTACTTCCAATCTTTGCCATTTTGTTGGAGTGCAGTGAGTGCACTATTTTGTTTTTCTGAATGACTGCATTTAAATTTCTGTCATGTTTCGTCTGGTGCAAACAGCCAAAGTGCTCATCATTGCAAATCTCATCACTTAGCATGTTGTGGGGTTACAGGGTTGCAATGTAACCTGCTCACCTAATGTTTACGTTTGTAACATTTATATTATTTATTCCCCTCATGTGGAACTCTGCATCTGCATCTTATTTCGAAGTCTGCTACTGCCCACCGGAGGTT